TGTGTGTGTGTGTGTGTGTGAGTGTTTGTTCATGTAGATCTTCTCCCGTTTGCTTTCTTCATGTCTCTTCTGCTGTATTATTTGTGTCGGTGTGAGTAAACGACCAAATCTAATTAGCAGCGTTTAATCAAGTGCTTAATGGGAGACGGTCGCTTTGACTCGATTTGAGATGTCTTAATTGACTTGTGGATCTTGTAGACACACAGCAACAGATTCAGAGTCAGTCAGTCGCACAAATAAACGGCTCCGCTCCAAAACCCAGTGCGCTGCCTACCTAGACAGCATTCCAAGACTTCATATGTGATCCTGTGCATTCTTTTGCCCCAAAACAGGCTTATTATAGTTTCTACTACTACTACTACTAATTATTATTATTATTATTGTTGTTGTTTTAAAACTTAAATATAAAAAATGAAAAAAAACTTATTTGTTACTAAACGTTAACTGAAATAAAATATATTTAAAAAAACGTAAACTTATTTTATTTTAGCTTGTTGCCAAGGCAACATTTCTTATTTTAGTTTAGCTTAGGTTGAAGTACTAAAATAACTAAAACTAAAACTAATGAATAAACTAAATATTATTACTAAAACCTAATATTCAATATTACTAAAATAAATATTAATAAATATTATATGGGCATATTAAAAAACTAATGAAAGTTTAAAAAAATTTCTAAAGGTTTAACTAAAATTAAAGTGAAAACAGAGTCTATTTCAAAATATTGACAATAACTATAATAGAATATAAAAAACACATCACCTGAGGTATTATTGTTAGCTTAAAAAATCATTAGCTGAAATAAAATAAAATAAACTACAGCTCATTACTAAGGCAACATTTGTCGTTTCCATTTAGTTTAACTTACTAAAAAAACAATAAATAAATAAAAAAACTACTACAAATGACAAAAACACAACAAAAAGTTACTAAAACTTAAAGTGAAAACTGAAAAAAATTCAAAATATCTAATATTGATTTAATTCTGATTCAAAATATTAACAAAAAGTGTAATAGTATATAAAATACTCAAATAACACTGAATCAAAGGCAGTGTTGCGTATATTCTTCATGGAGAACACAATCCCATAATGCACTGCAGCACAACTCCGTCCCGGGTGGCGAAGTGAGAGAAATGCTGATTATTAATATACTATTTAATCATTTATCCAAAGCCACTTACAGATGAATAATAGAAGCAATCAGACCAACAAGAATTTTTGCCTGGATTCTAGTTAGCATTGTTTTGTTCTTGTTAGGTCTCTCTCAGCACAGTTTTGCTTGTTTTAATAGTTTTATATTTGATCAGTGCCATCCAGAGACACTTGTGCTGCTCTTTTGTTCCCAGAGCATCAGTTTTAATGGGATCGGCCGTTTGAGAAGCTGTTGTAACTGTCAGCGATTGGTTCTGAGCTGTGTGTGGGCGTGTAACACCCCTCACAGTGGTTCTGAGCTGTGTGTGGGCTTGTAACACCCCTCACAGTGGTTCTGAGCTGTGTGTGGGCCTGTAACACCCCTCACAGTGGTTCTGAGCTGTGTGTGGGCCTGTAACACCCCTCGCAGGGGTTCTGAGCTGTGTGTGGGCGTGTAACACCCCTCACAGTGATCCGAACACTAACATCAGGCTGTTGTTAGGGTCGACAGGAAGTCGTGTGTCTCTCGCCGCCTCACTTCCTCTGCACACTTCTGTTTCTGTCCATCCTATTAAACTGCTTACCTACCCGCGTTATTTTAGTATTACTGAGATACTATCATAGTTTTTATTAGTATTTTAAATGGTTTTATTTTTATATATTAATTTTTTTTATTAAATACTTTTTTTTATTATTTATATATAATTTTAGTTAAAGTTTTAGTAAGTTCATTGTGTTTTTATCACTTTAGTGACAAGTTTTTTGTGTGTTTATTTTTTAATGTTTATATCGTTTTTTATAAATTTGTATTTCAAATAAAGTTAAGCTAAATGAAAACGAGAAATGTTGCCTTGGCAACTAGCTGAAGTTGTCATTTTTAATAAGAATTAACATTTTAATAATAACCATAAACAATGATATTAATAATTAATTAAAATAATTGTAATATATGTTTAAGATCATTTTATTTTTTTATACATTTTGTTTTATTTCAGTTAAAATTTAATTATTTCAAGTAGCAAATTATTTTTTATTTTATTTTATTTTTTACGGTTTTAGTTTTATTTAACTCTAATAACCCTGTTACATGCACTTTATTAAAGGGATAATTCATGCAAAAAAATGTCCTGTATGATATATTATAATAATTATTTAATGATAATTATCATTTTAATAGTAATCATAAACAATATAATTAAAAAGAATACATTTTTATATAATTTTAATGTACTTTTTTAATGTTTTATTTCAGATAACACTTATTTTATTGCACTTTATTAAAGGGATAATTCATGCAAAAATAAATCTTCTGTCATCATTGGCTCGTTTCAAACCTGTATGAGTATGACCATGAGATAAAGGTTAAATGTGGGTCTGTTTGAGGGTGTTTAGTGCCTTCATTAACACTCAGTTTGCTGTGATCGGCTCAGGACTGTTTCACGGTGGAAGGTGAAGATCTGAAGCATGACTTCAAGCGACTAAAGCTGGCCATGGAGATGGTGGGATTCCTGCCGGCCACCAGAAAACAGTGAGTTACAGCCTGAAAAACCTGACCGAGCTCACGATAAAACGCTCTGAAGCGTGCCGTCAGACACGGGACACACTCTCTGCCTGTCAGTCATTTGCTGCGTTCAGGTTTGCCGACATCTGATTGGCTGACGTGACATTAAGGGGTGGGGTTTGGATGGATTTGTCAGTTTTCTGCTTGCTTTATTGTGAGATTTGACTCAGGTTTTGTTCTCCGCAGAATCTTTTCTTTACTGTCTGCGATCCTTCTCCTGGGGAATATCCGTTACAAGAAGAAGACGTACAGAGACGACTCCATCGATATCTGTAACCCAGAGGTGCTTCCTATCGTCTCTGAACTGCTGGAGGTGAGACAATAAAGTCAACATTTGCAACCCACCGAACTACTTTTTTCCCCTTTGGAATCACATGCAGTGATTAATCGTTTTTTTTTAGTTTAGTTTAGTTTAGTTTATTACTTAATTTTGTTTTGTTTTATTATTTTATTTGTTAATTTAATTTAAATTTTATTTTGTTTCATTTTATTTTATACATTTTTAGCATTTTACATTTTTATTTTATTTATTTTTTATTTTTTATTTTATTTTTAGCATTTTACATTTTTATTTTTATTTTTTTTATTTGATTAATTTTTAGCATTTTACATTCTTATTTTATTTCATTTTTGTTTAATTTTATTTTGCTTTATTTATTGTTATTTCATTGCATTTTGTTTCATTTTATTTTGCTGTATCTTATTTGTGATTAATGATTCAGTGATTTTGTTGTTCATGTGGTTTTGATTTTTGTAGCGCTGTGGCTCCGCCTACAGTCAAATCTCATTTCTCTTTCATTGAGGACTGAATCATTATTTGATGATAGAAATGTGCGTCATTATGACTCTCTGATGCTCCAATAGTTTCCACCTGCTTCTATAAAGCATTTGGTTGAGTTTAACTAATTCTTTTTCATACAAATAATGCTAATTCAGTATAATTTATATATATAGAATTTATATTATTATAGAATTTATTCATATTTTGAATTAAAAATAATACTATTTTAGTATCATTTATATATTATTATAGAATTTATTCAAATTTTGAATTAGTTTTTTTTTCAGATTTCATTTTAATTTTAGTTTAAGCTTTTTTTAGAAATTTTATGTGCTTTTTCATTTTAACTTAATTGTAATTTTTGTTGTTTTTTGTCACTTTTTGTGTTTTTTAAATATTTTTTTTTTTTTTTTAATTTTTTTTTTTAAATTTTTTTATTTGTTTAAATATTTTTTTATTTTTTTATTAATTTTTATTTTAGAACTTTATCATTTGTCACATAATCCATTTCTATTTTTGCATTTTAATTTTAATTTGTTAAATTATTCATTTCTATGTGTTTTTTCAATTCTTGTTTTTTAAATATTTCTAGTTTTTTTAAATACATTTTTATTTTATCAGTTGTATCACTTTATCAAGTTTCATTTATGTTTTTAATAAGTTTTCCAGTCTAATATTTTGTATTTTATTTTATTTCACTTTATTTAATTTAATTTAATTCTTATTTTTAAATTTTATTATTTTTAAATTTTATTTTACAAAACACATTTTTACTAGTTTTAGCTTAGTTTCACAGTAACAGCACTGTTGATGAACGTCGTCCAGTAGTTTATTTGTTTGATTTACTCTGACTGCAGCGAGTCTTCGGCCTGAAGACTGAAGGTTTTTCTGCTTTATGACCTTTAGTTTCCTCGTTTGTGTTTTTTTTTACGATGTTTTAGTCGTTTCTGTTCACATTGGTGCAAGAGTTTTGCAGTGTTAATCTATCACACAAACACACACATGCAGCAGCAGTAAAACACACGAGTTTATGTGATCTAATAGGATAAAATGGATGTTTATATGCATTCGAGGCTTTTATAGGGAAACACTTGCACGCTAAGGCGGGCTAACGTGTGTCCGCATCTGTCTGTGGGTTTTTCTTGAAATGTCCCATTGGAAAGTGTGCTTATGTTGAAAATCACATTCTGTCCAAACACAGATTCATATTACAGAGTCAAACGGTTTTTGAGTCGCTGTAGCTGCAAAACTGGTTTAATGCTAAACATGTGCACTTCTCATGGTTTGTGTGCAGGTGAAGGAGGAGATGCTTTTCGAGGCTCTGACCACACGAAAGACGGTAACGGTGGGCGAGAGATTGATTGTGCCGTACAAACTAGCCGAGGTGAGTCAGTTATTTCATTAGACACTCGTTCAGATCTTCTTCATGAGCCTGATGTGGTCTATTGCGAAATCTTGACGTTTGTGTGAAGTTGTGACGGGTTTCGTGAGGTTTGTGGTCTGGAGTGTGGGGTTTTTAAGAGTTTTCCTGTGAGCTGTTTACTCTTGAATCCTCCTTCATCGCCTCAGTGTCATCGTGCATCGTTATCTTCTTCCACCCACACCACAAACTCATTTCCCACCGTCCAGACCCAGCCGAGGTCTTCCTCAAACCTTTACATTTGTGCGTTTACCGTGCACTTGTGTATAAAGCATCTTACAGTGCATTATATAACATCTCAGAACATTATACTGTAGATCTGAGAAGAGTTTAACATATTTATTTCTTTGTTTCTATATTTTAATTAATTAATTAATTAATTAACTTTTTTACCTTTTGTTTTAAAATGTGTTTATTTATTTATTTATATGCATTTTATTTATATTAATTTATTTAGTTTTATTTATTTATTTTACTATTCATGTTCGATAGTAGCATGCTCTACCAATAGAGATGCAGGAAACTAAATAAAAAATAGACAAAGCATTTCAGAATATTATACAACTGAATATAGTTTAAAATGTGTTTATTGTTTTTTATTTATTAGATTTATAAATAGACACCATTTTGAAATATCCAACTGAGAAGTGTTTACAATTTGATTATTTATTTTTATTTGATTTGTTTTGGATAGTGGCATGTTGTACCAATAGAGATTCAGGAGATAAAAAAAAAATAGATAAAACATTTTAGAATATTATACAACTGAGAGGAGGTTACCGTACATTTATCTATCTTTATTTTGTTTCTTTGTTTAATTATTTATTTGTATTTATTTTTTATTTACTTTTAATTACAATATTCTTTTGTGTGTGTGTGTGTGTGTGTGTGTGTGTGTGTGTGTCTGTGTGTCTGTGTCTGTGTGTGTTTATAAAGATACACAAACTCAGTAGTTTATCCAGAAACCCCAGTGGTTCAGAAACACACACACATCATTTAGTTTCAATTTATTTTTATTTCAGTTTTAGTGTTTTTTAAATATATTTCTGTATAGGTTTTATTATTTTTTTATTTTTAATTTTAACTTTATTAGTTGTATCACTTTATAATTTTTTATTTATTTATTTTTATTTATTTAATAAATTTTATTTGTATTTATTCATTTTACTTGTATTTTATTTTATTCATTTTTATTTTATTTAATTTTTTCAGAGACACACACACACACACACAGATGCAGGTTTTTCTGTGATCTTAATGATGAGTGATACTTACATTTTCCTCTATGTGATCAAAACAACTCTCAACTCTCTTTAAATGTTAAAGTGTTGTGAATAATGAATCACGCAGGGGGTTTTATATAATGTTTCGTCCCTCCTCCAGAGTTTGGCTAAAAGTTGAATCAATAATGCAGGAGCTTATTCTGCAGAACTGAACATGAGCTTGTGGTTTATTATGAATATAGTCTGCGTTTAAATCCATCAGCTTTTGGCCTGAGTGTCCTTGAGTCTCTCAGCAGCCAATCAGCTTCATTCTTCCCATCAGGCCCGGCGACGCGCGTACGCTTTCTCATGCTGCTGCACGCTTCATGGGTGTTAAGTGGAGAGTGTTTTATATGTTTTGGCTCGTACAGGTTCAGTAAGTGGCTGCAGCTTTATGGGCTTTGCACATGCTGAAGGAGATCTGTGTGCCGCTCGAGCTTTAAATCAGCTCATTACATTTTATTCATTATATAGGTTTATATAGGTTTTTTTTATTGTTTATACGATCTACACTGTAATTATGTGTTTATTTATTTATTTTTGAGTTTGTAAATAAAACAGATTAGTTGAGTACGTTTTACAATAAATATGACTTTCTACTTTAATTTTAATTTAATTTTAGAATTTAGCATATCATTCAGTGTTACTTGCCATTTCTTTGTAATTAATTGTGACATTTGCTAGCAATTTCTGAGTGAAAATTTCTACACCAATTTTTCTTTCAGTATTCACACACACACACACACACACACACACACACACACACTCACTCACTCACTCACTCACTCACTCACTCACTCACTCACTCACTCACTCACACACGCACACACGCACGCATTCACTCACACACACACACACGCACACACGCACGCACGCACGCACTCACTCACTCACTTACACACACACACACACACACACAGGTTTTTAATTACTCCTGTGATGGCATGCTACAGGTTTGTGTGACACGGGAAATGACGACTTGGAAATTCAGGGACGTTTCAGTGTGTGAGACCACAGTTTCCCCTAAACAAGCCTGAGACACACACTTTCCCCTGCAGAAACACAATCTCACTGTAATATCTGAGTTTCATACAGTGCTTTCAGTTATTGAAGCAGCAAACACGTCCTCTGCTTTGTCCTTGTTTTATCTTTATTTCTCATTGAACGTTGGGTCTGTTCTTCGGTTGTTCACGCTTGACTCTGTAGATGCTGGTGATTTCAGGCAGACATCACTCTCGGTTTCCTCACAAAATTTAAAAATCTAGTTTGAGCTGTTCATGTATTTCCTGATTTAGTTACATTGACTGGCTATGAGTGAGTATGTGTGTGTTTGTGTGATGAGGATCTGAGACTGTAAACACACACACACACACACACACACACACACACACACACGTGTGATGGCGGTGATTGACAGGTGTGTGTCTGCACAGGCGGGGACGGTGAGGGACTCAATGGCCAAATCTCTGTACGGCGCTCTGTTCGACTGGATCGTCTTCCGCACAAACCACGCACTGCTCTACAACAAAGACCTGGAGGATTCAGACAAGGTACAAACACACACACACAAACACACACACACACACACACACAGGTTTGTTGTCAGCTGCATCTTCACAGCTGCTCACAGTACTTCAGATGTAATGTTATGCTCTGTGAAAGGTGTGTATATATTTGTTCACACATTCACACAATAGCAAGTAATAATCCTAGTATACGCATTTTCTCCCATTATTGGCCGTTTGTAGTGACTGATTGTTCATCGATGTCTCTTAGCTCTGACTGAGAGTCATGGTGTGGTGAAATCACGCGTGTCACGCTCCTGCATCAGTGTTCAGTTGCACATTGTCGTGATGTGAGGTGTGTGTGTGTTTCAGATCCTGTCCATCGGCGTGCTGGACATCTTCGGCTTCGAGGACTACGAGAACAACAGCTTCGAGCAGTTCTGCATCAACTTCGCCAACGAGACGTTGCGGCATTACTTCAACCAGCACGTCTTCAAACTCGAGCAGGTAACATCTTATAACAGAATCTGATCACGAGTGCCGTCGTTTACTGTGATCATCAGTGACATGTGTTTGTGTTTGTGTGTGTGTTTGCGGTGTGTGTGGTGTGTGTGTGTGTGTGTGTGTCAGGAGGAGTATCGGTCGGAGGGCATCAGCTGGCACATGATCGACTACATCGACAACACGGCCTGCATCGACCTCATCAGTAAGAAACCCACTGCGCTGCTCCACCTGCTGGACGAGGAGTGCAAGTGAGTCTCTGACATCTGAAGCCTGTCTGACAGAAACAGCTCTCACAGTTATCATGCAGCACATTATGTGTTTCCCTCGCTTTTCCTTTATTAAAGTATCCTTGTTTGGATTGCACAGAAATGTGTAGTAAATATTAAGCTACAGTAGAAGCCGATTCCATTGGATTTAGTCACACTAACGTTTATTTAATTCTTTATTATCATTATTGTTGTTGTTTGTTATACTGTTGTAGCATCAGAAAACTGGATAGTCATCACAAATATTAAAATCAGTTTTATTTTTATAGTATTTTTGCTGTTTTTTTAATAATTTTTTTAAATGTCTGTATAGTTTTTATAATTTTTTTTTAATTTTAATTTAAATTCACTTTTATTTTTAGTAATTTTTGTTGTGTTTTTATTTATTATACTTTTTTTGTTAATCTTTTTTTTTTAAAATATGTCTATAGTTTTTTTATTTTATGCTCTGTTCTTGTATAAACTTAATTACTAATTTTTGTTAATTTTTTTAAAATATGTCTATAGTTTTTTTATTTTATGCTCTGTTCTTGTATAAACTTAATTACTAATCAAATATTGCGATTATTTTTATATTTGTGTATTTAAAATGTGTATATTTAGTAATCAAACTTTGAAAACTAATATTTCATATTTATTTGTAAATCCTATATGCATTTGTTATTCATATATATATATATATATATATATATATGTGTGTTTTTATTATTTTTATTTTTATTTCAGTTTTAGTTATTTTAGTACTTCAGGTTAAAATAAAGGAAAAGTTGCATTGCCAACCAGCATAATAATATTATTTCAGTTAATTTTCATTTTGTTTTAAGTAATGAAAATGTTTTTTTTTAATTGCTTTAGTTTTAGTTTCAGTTAACTATAATAACCCTGAATGAAAGGATACAAGCCTGAATAGATTATTATAAATAAATATCAAATATTGATATATTATAAATAATATATCAAATAAAAAATTAGTTTTTGATTTTAGTAAAGAAGTTAATTTTATACAAATATAAATATAATATAGATACATTATTGTTATAAATCTGTTTCTGTTTAGTAACAATTCTATCATGAAATAGTGATCACATATTAAAGACTGGAGTGTTTGTATAAATGTGAATGTTGTGGTTGGTTTGTAGTTTTCCGCAGGCGTCTAATCAAACTCTGCTGGATAAGTTTAAGCGGCAGCACGAGGGAAACGGCTACATCGAGTTTCCTGCCGTCATGGAGCCAGCGTTCATCATCCGACACTACGCCGGCAAAGTCAAATACAGCGTCAGGGTGAGAAACCACGCTTCAGAGACTCTCAGACCACATCTCAGACCACCAGAGTGTGTGTGTGAGTGTGTGTGAGTGAGTGTGAGTGTGTGTGAGTGAGTGTGAGTGTGTGTGAGTGTGTGTGTGAGTGAGTGAGTGTGTTTGTGTGTGTGTGTGTGAGTGAGTGAGTGAGTGTGTGTCTGACCTCTGACTGCAGACTGTATATGTATATGACACGTTCGCTGTGTCCTGCAGGACTTCAGGGAGAAGAACACGGATCACATGCGTCCGGATATCGTGGCTCTGCTGAAGAGCAGCGGAAAGGCTTTCATCTGCGGCCTGATGGGAATCGATCCTGTGGCCACCTTCCGCTGGGCTGTGATCCGCGCCTTTTTCAGAGCGCTCGTCGCCTTCAGAGAGGCCGGGAAACGACACAAGGAGAAGACGACGACGAGCGGTGAGAAACGCCAGCATTTACTCGACACTGTCGTTACTGTATAATGCACTAAACCAGATCCTGGAACTGTTTTAGATATCATAATAGTGCCAAAGTATCAATTTCAAAACAATGACAAAAAAGATTTTTTAAATAATACAATTATATGCATTTTACAAATGATTAAAATGATTATAAATAAATAAAAATGTATAATAATTATTATAAATAATTTTATAATAATAAAAAACTATAATTTCAGTGTGTAATAAAACATTACAAAAATAAACTATTCAAATGAACACATGCATTTATTTATATACAGAGTTCTGGCATGAAACTCTAGATGGCGCAGTCCGATAGGTCGTGTGTATTGCGTGGTCTGCCTAATTGAATTAAAAAATTAGCAACCAGCAACCATAATAAACTAAGTGTCATGTTAGCAGTTTGTATTGTATGCAGGAGCCAATATCAAGCATATTACATATTAGATTTAGCATCTGTGTTTACAGCTGGTGCAAAACGCAGTTTAGAGCTTGTAATCGCTCTGAGGACACGCCGATAGTAACGGACATGAAACAGGTTAAATGAAATAAGCATTTTTGTATATGCATTTCAACGGGGGTTCGCCATATACATCGGCGATTATTCCAGTGTTCACGTTCGTTATTTCTAAGGTCGATGTTTTCATTGTGATGAGTGTGTGGTTGATTTCAGCTGCACGCAGTATCAGAAGCACGTGCTTATAGCAGTCATATCAATGACAGTGTTGCGGGAGATGCTGAAGAGCACTATCTATGGCTGTAACAGTTAGTTCCGAGTGAAATGCATTATGGGTAGTGTAGTTCGGAGAAATGTGCTCATGAGACATGTGCTC